CTATTTAACTGTCCGAAACGGACCATCCCCCCCTTAGAACCCCCTGTCTCATCTCTCAGAACCCCATCACCTCTATAGAACCCTAGAGACGCCGCCCAATTTCCACCGCCGTGAACCCGGTGGTGCCACCTCCAACCCCTCCCAAATTAACACCCCATGAGCCCCACGACCCCCTCTTCCCAAATCTCGGGTCAGTTCTCGGGTCTAATCTGATTTTATTCGTGTGCTTTTTGTAAGAGCACACGATTAACATCAGATTTGGCCGGAAAATCTGAGGATTTGAAGATTTGTCACAACCTTTTATTGTCCGAGGCTTTTAGGTATTTCTTTTTTTCTTTTATTATCTTTCTTCGATTTTCTATTTTTCTGCTTCCTCTCTTCTTCTTGATTCATTCTTTTTATTTTGCTCCAGAGGTATGAGGTCATGCATGAGTAATTGTGAGCATTTTCTTAATTAGTATAGTCAGTTTGTAACTAGACTAGTGTAAATCTGTTAGTTTGGTTAATGTTGTTAAGTAAATCATTTAGGCTAAGTTCTTAATGGTTGAAACATTTCGGCATGTGTTATTTGGTTAATTAGATAATTTCTAGTTTGGGCCGAGTGGTTCTTGATCCTGTGGGTTGGGTTTGGGTCAATTCCGACTCATTTTGGGTCTGGACCGTTGGGTCAAAAATGACCTATAACTCGTTTTGGTTTGAGAGGTTATTTTCAGGGGTTATAGGGGTAAGTTGGAAAAATTGGATAAGGGAATCTGTATAACTGAATAGGGAAGCTTCTAGGAAGCTGGGGTAGGGGCTAATTTGAAAATCTGATTTTTAGACTAAGGTTTCCTGAGCAAAAATGAAAATGTAAAAAGGGTCTAATGGCAAAATCTGATTTTCTGTAAGCTACCCTACTTCCTTGCCTTTCAAGGCAGACCCAAGGGATTAGGAGATAAAATTCTGAAAAAAATAAAAAAACGGCGAGAAATTTCATAAAAAAACACTATTCTATTGAATTTCTTTCTGTAATGCAGGAGGTTTTGAATTTCTGAAGCAATCTCTGATTCATATGGGGTTGAAGATGGTTTAATTTGTTATTTGAAAGCTGGTTTTGAGCTGAGTTTGTGTTTGGAGTCCTGTTCTAATTTAAGTCTGGGGGTTTCAAAATTAGTTCGAATGCTGTTTGGTATTTCTTCCTTGCTAATTCTGGGCTGACTCTACTGCTGCTGTTATTCCCTTCTTATTCTCCTTATTTCCTTCTTAACTTTCAGGTACATATTCCTGATTCTAGACTTGTAAGAAGGGTTCATGTTTTTTGAAGAAATGAAGATCTCCATACTGGCTAAATAAATTCCTCTATTTTTTTTTCATTTGACTTGTTAATCCATGCCTTCTATTTTAGTATGTTTAAAATAATGTTATGCCATGAACATCTTAGACTTATTTTAAGACTTGTAATTAGGACTCTAATTTGCATTTGTTAACTTTAGTTTGTTTTGAATCATTTCCCATGACTTGGATGGTTGCATCATTGTGAGATTAACATGAAGTAGCTAATACCGCTTTAAGGTTTTCTTTTGGGTAAAATGTGGTACTCGTGGTGATATGGGAATCATTGGTATTCTTCAAATCTTCAGGCATATGAACATATTTTAAAATTCCATTAAGTGTTCTGATGAAAGATGAAATAGAAGCTGGGTATGCTTTGATGGCATTGTTAATAGGATGATTGGCTAATAGGGTTCTATGAGAGCTTTGTCTAGCATTTTAGTTTCAGTAATGAGTAATGACGCTTCTGATGTTTCAAGTCTATGTAGTTTGAAAGTTATTGATCATGAGGTTCTATTCTTGTATTGAAAATGAAAGCAAATTCTTATTTTTTTCATCATAAAGGCTTGTCGTATAGTCTAAAAGGCTAGGGGGTTAATATCATAAAAATGTTACTTGTCTTATCTTCAAATGTACGCTAAAATGCAAAGTTTTGAGGCTAGTAGGCTTAACCTGAAGCCCATGAAAATCAGCCTATAGCCATGAAATATGGCTCTCTTGTGGGTTCGATACTAGATCCCCAGGTTTTCAGTATTTGCCCATGTTCTCAAAAGAGCCTGATTAGTTCAATAGCACTAAGATTTCGATAAATATTTTGTTTTTTAAAAAAGAAGGTTGTTAATTCAATTTTTCAGATGTCTTGAGCTTGCCATTAATTGGTGTTTAAGTAATGTATGTACACCTTATTATTCTGAAATATGGGCTCAATGCTGGCCCAGTCAATGCAAAGAGTTTTACCGCCTGGACTGCCCACCCCTCACACATTTTTCGCTTGGGCCTGTCCTAATCCCGGAGCCCAATGGGTCTGTGTAAATAATCATCAATAATTAATGGTGTTAGCTGTAAAAAGGGCATTTTGTTCATTTAGACGGGGTGTGCCATGTTAGATAACACCGATAGGCTATGGCCCTTATAAGTTAGTTTAGAAACCATTTGGTTAAAATAAATCGATGGGTGCTATGCCAAATAAAAGCTCAAATTGCGTGGCCCTCGCTCAATTATTCCTTATAAAATTCTTAGAATTCGAGGCGCGCCATTTAGCAAATTCCATGGCCCTCGCAAAGTTGCAAACGCGTAGTTGCTTTAGGCGCGTTGTTTAAATAATTTACCGTCCTAAACTCGGGTGCGCATTTATGTGACCCAAATCCAAATCTCAACAATATTGAAATATGTCAAACACTGCGGGTGCATTTATGTGACGTGGTTCAAGACGTGTTTTAACAGCGTTGCAATATTCCTAAAAGTAAGTAAAAGCGGTTAAATAAGTTAAAATATACCATAGGCTAAAACATGTATTAAAATCAGATAATTAAGCCGGATATAACAGTTGAGCGACCGTGCTAGAACCACGGAACTCGGGAATGCCTAACACCTTCTCCCGGGTTAACAAAATTCCTTACTCGGATTTTTAATTTGCGGACTGTTAAACAGAGTCAATCTTTTCCTCGATTCGGAATTTAAACCGGTGACTTGGGACACCATAAATTATCCCAAGTGACGATTCTGAATTTTAAATAAAATAATCTCGTTTCGATTGTCACTTTAAGTTGGAAAACTCCCTTTACACCCTTCCTCAGGGTGTAGGTAAAAAGGAGGTGTGACACTTCTCTTGGCAAATTACAAGTATGTGAGACCACCATGAATATGAATAGGACGAAAGTGAATAGGCCGAAATTAAATTATTACATAAATTAAGTAATAGGATGAACGAAGTTGAGCAAGACTTGATCTCGAGTTTCACCATCTTGTACCCCAAATCCATCTCTAAATTGGTACGTGACATGTGCCATCCGTGCTTCATTTACTACATGTTTGACGAGTTTTTACTGTGATGTAGAAAGAGTATTAAAATGGTTTATAAATTTAAAAATTCGACACTATTAATTTAATTTAGTAATTAAAAAATTCAAACCAATCCGACCTATATACACCCCCTAACAGTAACGATTTATATAGATCAATCAGTATATAAGTCCAAATCAAAAGAAATTTGAGTCACACAAAGATATATTCTAAGTATCCTCGACTTTTCTCCTAAAGTAGTCACGTCAATGTGAATTCTGATTAGTGGTCTGAAATTCTTAGCTCCATAGATTTTGACAATTTTTTTTATTTACTTTTTTTTTTTTTGAAAATGTTGTTTGTTCATGAAATATGAATTAACTTTTGAAAAAAATTGATATTTTTTTTTCAAGTTCCCAAAATCTGGTTTAGAGCAGTTGTTGGGTGAATGTTTTTTTTCTACTCATAAAACTGTAACCTTTTTCAAATAAAATACATATTCAAACACAATTTCAACAATAACAATAATAACCCAATATAATCCAACAAGTGGGGTCTGAGGAGGGTAGTGTATACGCAGGCCTTACCCCTACTCTGGTGGAGTAGATAGGTTGTTTCATATAGATCCTCGACTCAAGAAGACGAAAAGAGACAATATATTGGTAACAATAACAGAGGCCAAAAAGATAATACCCGCAACCTAAGAATCAGAAAAATAGATGAAGAAAGTAATAACAATAACCAGTAACAATGACAAGGTACTAGGAAAGGAGCGAAAAATAGTATGAACACAACATAAACCCTTAGCAGTCTAAGACAATACACTATTAGACTAGCCTCACACCCAATACGTAGTAGAAAAACACTTAACTACCTCCCAACTTTCAACCCTAATGCTCGACCTTCACACCTTCTTATCAAGGGCCATGTCCTCAGTTTTACAATTAAATATCAATAATATTTTTATGGATTTATTAATAAATATATAGGATCTTGAGCGCAAAAGCTATTGGGTTCACTTGAAATTGTAAATTAGAAGCTAGATCCACCTCTAAATTTAATCGTAGCCTCAGCCCATTCACCCTCTTAATTATTAGTTATATTGGCCAAATATAAAAGGTTTTGTTGGACTAACCTTTATATAAATATTGGTCGGATTTACTGTTTATTTTTCTTAGCCAGTATATATTGATTATATATGAATTATATNTGGACAACTCAAGCTATTGCTCAAATATTCCTTATTAGTAAATGTGTAATCTGATTTAGATACAAGACTCTTGAGTTTTTTGGTTATGAACAATCGTGTGTCGTCTAGTAAGTTTTCACCTTCCATGCTCAGATATGACCCTTCCAAAAGCTCCAACAGTGTTTTCACATCTGAGACTTTCAGCTTTCCTTTGCCATCGAAGAAGTCCTTTAACATATCTGTAGTACAACGATAAAAAACAACTTGAAATTAAATTAGAAAGACATTATATTGGGGAGCTCCATAATCCCCATATTATGCTGGAACTTTTCGTGTGCTGCAGTTCTAACATAATATACTGAAATTTATATGCAGGAGCAGCATAATCCACCATAATCCCGTTTATTATGCTGGACCTTTCCGTGTTTCAGCAAAATAGTGGTTATTTTTCAATGACTTTGTAAACTCTGACTCTATTTAAATTACCAGTTCGAAAACTTGCTGNCATGTTGAGGCTCAGAGGAAAGTCCTACAGCACAAAAGAAGCTTTCCACTATCCGATCCCTTGTAAAGCTCAAATCTTCAACTATTGAAACATTCCTCCACCATCTGTCAAATTCACAAGAAATTATTTTCGTATAAAAAACAAGAAGAAATTAAAGTGATTCTCATTTGACATGCATGTTTTAAGTACGTACCTTAATACGTGTTTGAGATCCTGTTGGTGCGTGGCTTGAATTATATTGAAGTTAAGTTTTGCCAACTTCAGCAACATTGGATTTGCATTGTTGCATTCAAGTTCTTGAGCAGAGATGTGTCTTCTTACGGCATACCATTTCACTCTCCATGCAAATGGACAACTCAAGCTATTGCTCAAATATTCCTTATTAGTAAATGTGTAATCTGATTTAGATACAAGACTCTTGAGTTTTTGGTTATGAACAATCGTGCGTCGTCTAGTAAGTTTTCACCTTCCATGCTCAGATATGACCCTTCCAAAAGCTCCAACAGTGTTTTCACATCTGAGACTTTCAGCTTTCCTTTGCCATCGAAGAAGTCCTTTAACACATCTGTAGTACAACGATAAAAAACAACTTGAAATTAAATTAGAAAGACATTATATTGGGGAGCTCCATAATCCCCCATATTATGCTGGAACTTTTCGTGTGCTGCAGTTCTAACATAATATACTGAAATTTATATGCAGGACAGCATAATCCACCATAATCCCGTATATTATGCTGGACCTTTCCGTATTTCAGCAAAATAGTGATTATTTTTCAATAACTTTGTAAACTCTGGCTCTATTTCGATTACCAGTTCGAAAACTTGCTGGCCATCCTGGTTGTGTCACTGTTAATTAGATGATGAATTTTACTAAATAAAGTTAAGGCCCCTCATTAAGATAATTGGGTTTAGACCTCTAATTCTATTGAACCGTCCCTGTCCGCATAGTCTAAATCCTAGTTGTGCCGCTGTTAATTAGATGATGGATAACCACATTATTAATTACTTATAATATTAAGTTGATATATAACCTTGAGGAGCATGGTAGCCGTGTTCCCTTAGAAGCCTGAAGCACAATGCAGTAGCATACAGATCCTCCTCCGTCGAGCTGGAATTAGTTTTGACGGACATTATTATCTTTCCCAAAGCTTCCTTGGTTTCAACCTCGAAGTAACAACTGAGTCCAAGTTTGTCAATGCTGTCTATAAGCTCTAGCAGGTCCACTGGACTAATAGTACTGTTTGAAAAGTATGTGCAACTCAATTCCTCCTTTAGCTTCTCAACCTCAACTTTGTACTTCTCTTCCTGCATGCAGTAGCAATTAATTATATATTACAAAAAATTACGAACATGAACATTAATTAAGAGAGATAAAAGTAATTAAATACTCACAGAATATTCACTTGTAAGAGTAAGTAGATGATCATATTTCCAAATGTTTGGTTTATAGGTAGAAATCTTCCTTTCATGACGGCTTTGTTTTTTAGTAGTACTATGAACTTTCTGTGTCTGCATAGTGGAAAAAGGGACACAATATTTCTGTAAGACGTGGTTTGGGATAGTATCATACATTGGAATAATAGAGTTGGAGAAGATACAAGAATAATTGTGGAGATCTTTCATATAACTTCGAAGAGCATTTATAGGTAAAGGAAAACCTTTGTCGTGATGTATTTATTTATGCATTCTAGCTCGATATTGAGCAGGGAAATATTTTTGTAATGCTGTCATGTATAAGAGAGAGAAGAGAGAGACTGTGTCGAATCAGGGCTGACCCAAGTGGTGAGAAGTGAGTTTAATTGAACCCGCTTTGTTAAAAAATAATATTGTGTATGTGTATAAATTATAGCTAAAGCAAGGTAAATTTTGTATAAAAATTATTTTTGAACCCACTTATACGACTTATACCGCTTATGTTAGTTATGGACTTTTTCAACTGAACCCGCTTGTACAAAATTTTAGGTTGCGATGTATGGAATACAAAAAACGTTTTAAACGACTCAAGATGAGAAAACTATTGTGTGGAATGTAGACTTGGAAGTGACGCTCAGTTCACCTTCTAGACTCAAAGATTCCTCAGGTAATCAAGTTTTGACAAGTTTGTCCTCTTAACGTTTTCTGGACACTCGTTTAAATAAATAAAATCTTGCGGATAGTGTTCCAACTTTCAGCTTATAGCACAAAGCTTTAATATAAATTTTAACTTTTGTAATTTAAAAATAATTCAAAATTATGTCTATATATTGAAAAAAAACAACAACTAGAAAAAGCCAATACGATTCCAACAACAAACCATTTTAACAACTGATTACCTTACATAGTTTTATGTCACGCCACATTTTTTGAACGACGTAAGAAAATAAAAGATCCATGATGTGCCATAGGGGCGTGTACAAAGAAAACCGATAAACCATATCAAATCGATAATTCGAGTTAAATCGGAAAATAAATTCGATTGTGGTTTGGTTTGATTTAATTTGGTATTGAAAAAAAGAACCCAACCATAATTGGTTTTAAATTAAAAAAGTCAAACCGAAACCAAACCAACCCGATAGTATATTTATATAATTTTTAAAAATATTTTATGCATATAAATATTTATTGTAATGTAATTTATAAATATTTTTAAAACTTTGTCACAGTTTTATTTTTTAATAACATTCTTGAATGGTAAATAAATTTTATAGCCCATAAATGTAGTAACTCAAACAAAGTTCAAATCAATACTAATGCTAATAAAAAAAAATTCAATTCAACACTAGGAAAGACGATAATGTTGGATATCTATTTTTAAGTTTTACATTGGTTTATAATGAAAATGCATGACTTAATTTATTTTTTCTTTAGTGCTTAATTATGTAATTAATAGTACTTTACCTATACTTATTTAGCATGGCCTATATAGTATTTTAAGATTAGGTTAATATTTATTATGGCTTATTAATTAGCAATGCAATTTATTATGTTAGTTATTGAATATTTTAGTGTAATGTTATGACTTATCTCATATGATTGTATATTTTCTTGGAAAATACTTGTATCTTACTAGGACAAAAGAGATATTTGGAGCACAAGTTACATATTTTGTGCTATGAAAACTTCACCAGAAAAAAATTCGAAAACCCGAAAAAAATAGAAAAACCCGAGAAAAAGCGAGATTAAAAAATCTGACTTTGTTGGTTTGGTTTGATTTGGTTTATAGATTTAAAAATCCGACAGTATTGGTTGCTTTAGTAATTAAAAAATTCGAACCAACCCGACCTATGTATACCCCTGATGTGCCATATGATATGATGAACTAAAGGCATCAATGTTAGGTTGGGCCAAATTTGTTTATTTATTTATTTTTTTGTATTTTTGTAAGAGCTGCACATGCGGCAACCCTACTTGAATAATTTGATTATAGCAGATAAAAGGTAAACTGAGAATGTACTTGTCATTGAAATATGATTGACGATTACCCTTTTGACATGTCCACTTAATAATTGCTCTTTTTATAAAAAAAGAATCATGGGGGAATTTTCTATCCATTGTGCCTTAGAATATACAAATGGCCACTTTTGTTAAATATTTACGTCAATCTAGTGCTGGCAATTAAGGGTCCGATTCGATTGGACGTTGAAATAGGTTAGACAAAAATATATAAAATATCTTATTCAGTCATATTTCATACGGATAAAGCGTCGAATAAGGTGAGTAATCATTTTAGTCGTGGCTTCTTGAATATTGTCATGTTGACAACCAATCTTTATCTTATTTTAATTTATGTTGATTGACCTAAATTGCACATTTGTCACAACACTATTGATGTTGGGTATATTTCTATATGTTATAATGTTATTTTACTCATGTTTTAACCGCTTTTTGGTGTTATTTCATCTTTAAAATGCCCAACATTAGTCAATTATTGATTTTATGACTAATTGAGTTATGTATGATAATTTAGGATGTTTAAAGTGCAAAATATGAAAAGAAGGTGCTCCAGCTATAGGAGAAGAAGGTGGATGCGTCGCATCCAACCTAGAAAAAAAGTATATTTGATGCACCCTTGGCTGTGAAGTCGGGAGAAGGCATCCGCCTTAGCATCCGCACCTGGGCACAATAGAGACGAAGGAATAGAGGGCGGATGCGAAGAATCTACCCCAGCATGTGAAGCTAAGAATTTGAAGCCGAGGCGCATGCGAAGCATCCACCCCAGCATCAATCCATGAAGTTGAGTCGGATTAGGAAAAGCAAAACTGTGGCCCACGACTTTTGTACGCAATATATAAGCCAAAAGCACCTCTTTTAGGTCATCTAATGCACGGGAAAGCAGAGAAAAGCCATCACAAAGTTTTGAAACCACAGAATTCGTCTTGAGTTCTTACTTTTTCCTTCTTTTATTGAATTTTATGTATTCTTGGGAACTATTTGATATTGCTACAATGAGCATGCGTGGTTAAACTCATTATTCTAGGATCATGGGTGCTATATGAATGTTGGCGTTTGAAGTTTAAATTAATGATTTTGATTTTATTACATTGGATTGTTTATTTAATTATGTTCTTAGTTATTTTACCGAGTAGCTAATAGTGAAATACTATCTACGAATCTAGAGTTGAACTCGAAAGTGGGAATTCTAGAGTGCATATCGAATTAAATAGAGCAAGTTCTTGAACCCAGACATCGGGGAGCGTATTCACAATTAGGATAGAAATATACCTAATTGCGTTGATTGGTTGAAATATAGGAAGTGTAAATGCATTCTTGTTAGTCTTAATTCCTTAGATATATAGGCATTAAGTTAGCTTGAATAGGCGAGTAAGAACTCGACAGATTCTTATAAGTAATATCAACCCTATCAATCAACAATCCAGATAAATCAATTAGTCATTTTAATCCAAGAACGCAACAAGATTGTTAGCATCCCTACGACCCTGGAATATCCTCTCCTATTGCTTGTTATCCAAAACTGCATATGTGTCTTAGTCGATCTCTAGTTTATTTAATTGCTTGGTAGTTTCTTCGATTGTTAATTAAATACTTACACATTTTGAGTAAAACAATCTCTTGAATAGATAATTTGTATGAGTTTGAATCAGTCTGAAGTTAATCATAAATCTACGTGGGAATGATAATCTACTCACTGCTTTATTACTTGATGACCGCGTATACTTGCATAAGTGCAATAAGTTTTTGGTGTCGTTGCCGATGACTTAGAAATTAGCTACTTGTCTAAGTGAAACTTTTGTTAGTTATTTGTTCAAGTTTTAATTTTCAGTTTGCCTTGTTTGTGTTAACGCATGCTCTTCTATTAATTGTGGAGGAGTAGAAGCGCAAACAACCTCCTTCCTCTTGATCCAAACAAACACTTCACAGACTGAGAAGGGAAGTCGAAACTAGAACTAAAATAGAAAGAGAGTTGGACATCGTAGTTAATTCACAACCACTAAAGATGTCAGGTAATGAAGAGCGATCGGTGATAGAAGCCATAAGGCCCAATCTTGCTAATATGACTCAGGTTATTATGAAGCCTCATATCACAGGTCATTTTGTACTCAAACAATGCATGGTCCAATTGATTCAGTCCACAGGGCAATATGTGGGTCTATCTCATGAAGTCCTGTAGCGACATATTCAGAACTTCCTGGAAATTACAGATACTTACAATTATCCGAACGTCTTCAAGGATTATGTCAGGCTGACATTATTCCCCTTTTCACTGCTAGGGGAAGCTAATGAATGGTTGCAAAAGGATCCCGCGAACTCAATCCACATTTGGGACGATCTAGCAAGAAAATTCTTAATCAAGTTTTTTTCCACTAAGAAGACAAAGTCGTTGAGGTGCCAGATTCTTGGGTTCCAACAACATGAAGGAAAGACTCTTCGTTAAGCTTGGAAAAGATACAAGAAGCTACTCAGAGACTGCTCACATCATTGTTAGACTGATGAGGTGTTGGGTCATACTTTTGATGATGGGTTAGACAAGACATTAAAGATGAATCTTGACTCAGCTTGTGGGGGTAGTTGCATGGCGAGGCCGTATAGTGAAATCTAACGGCTACTAAACAACTTCACTACTAATGATCATAACTGGCAAGGAGATGGAAATCACGAAGAGCACTTAAACAGAAAGCAGCCAGTGTAATTGAGCTTGATAACTTGTCAGCCATGAGAGCAGATATATCAAAATTGAAAAATAAAATGAATAAAATGACAATGCACCAAACACAACAGATGCAACATGTACAACAGATGTCTACTTGCTGCGAATTATATGGTGACAGTCACACGAGTGACATGTGCCCCACGAATCCCAAATCTATCTACTATGTGGGGTAACAAAGCAGAGGATCAATGAATCATCATACACAATATGGGAACACTTACAATGTAAATTGGAAGAATCATCCTAACTTCTCATGAGGTGGAAATCAGCCGACTCAGAATCATTATAGGCCCCAAGGAAATTTTAATCAGCCTTAGAAGCCACCCCAGCAAATAAAAGAGAGTATGAATGACTTGTTAAAGAAGTTGTTGCTTGATAATCAACAACTCATGACCGATTTTAGAAATCTTGAGAAACAAATGGG